AGGCTGCTCATTTTCATTGCCTTGGAAAGGATTGTTCTTTGGGATAGAGTAGTTTCCCCATAAACCAAGCTTAGAGATTTCAGATACGCCTGCAGAGTTTTATAGCAGAAAAATAAGAGTTAAAACACTGAATGCAAACTCCATAAATACAGGGTTTTGGTTATCGATTTCGTCACTTAACTTGGCATAACATCAACATCAAGCCTCAAGATTTTTCCAAGTAACGACTTCTTGTTCTGTGCAAAGTTGTGAGTATCTGAAACTCCTCCTCCGTCACCAGTCATGAGATACAAATACCCGTCAGGTCCAAAGAGAATCTGACCACCGTGAGATGACGAATACGGAAGTCCCAAAGTGAAAATCCTCCTCACTTCAGAGGCTTTACCAATCTTTGCCTACACAATAAAGTAACAATCTCTGTTAGAATCTTGATCTCCAAGAAACTCATATTTTGGTTGATATCAAATCTTGAATCTTTTTGGTTTTGAAATTACCGTTGAAGGGCTCGAGGAAGTACCGTTTGCGGTATACTCAGCCACAACGGTCTGATAACGACAAGGATGCGCGCCATCATCTTTAGGAAGCTTAGAAGGATCACAGTTTACATCAGAATTGCAAGCACAACGACCAGAACATCCAGGAGATTTGACTTTATCGCAGTTAAAAGAAGCGAAAAACCGCCCGTTCTCTGCGAATTTAGGATGAAACGCCATTCCCATCATACCAAACTGCGTATCGAAACTGACTTGATCGGTAATATCAACAAAAGGAGTCGATTCGTCGATTTCCATAGGTTCACCTGAGTCTTGATCCGGTATTGTTCCTAACCAAATCTTACCAGGTTGGTTAGAGAAAAAGGCCCGGTTAGAACCATCAGGATGAGCCACCATGTTTAAGTAAGACCCGGTTCCTATCTTCTCAAGACATATTCCTTTTGGTGGCTTAACATCACCAGTGTCTTTGTTAACCGGTTCGCCATTAAAGCATTTGGTTTTGTTGTTGTTGGTTTGAGATGGTCCACCAAAGGCGGTACAGAATTCGGTTTGAGATTTCCAAAGGTCGGTTAATGTTGATGAATTTGAGGAAGTTGAAGGCGAAGTAGCACCACCTAGTAGAGTGGGACTAAAAGGAGAAGAAACAATGGAAATGTTCTGACATGAATCCCAAAGCTTTGAGCATAAGTCTTGTGAAGTTGAGTTGCAGAGAATTGGGACTAGAGAACTATCATCATCAAACAATTGTCCTGAGGATTGATCACATTTCTGAGGAAATAAAACAACAAAACTCAGAGATTGAGAATCAATTAGCTTCAAACAGAGCAAATGGGTAAGTGAAAGATCGATTCTTTTTTGATGGGTTTTTTCGAATTATTGAGGAAATTGAAGTGAATTTGATTAGACTTACAGAACAGAGAATGGATTTGAGAAGAGAAGAACAATTAGAGTCAGAGATGTTCATGGAGTTGAAGCGATTCTGTAATTGAAGATCATCTTTGGAACTGCAGCAAGTTTTTCCTGTGTAGGAATCGCAGAACTGGAGTGTCTCGTTGTTGATGACTGGAGTCTCTGACAAAAGAACGAAAAACTCATCAAAACGACAAGAACACAAAGAACACTTAAACTCAAACCGACATGAACACTTACTTGAATCTGAGCAAAGAGGATGAGAAGTTGTTGCAGAGAGTAGAAGAAGCAGAAGAAGGGAACAGATAGTGATGGCCTGAATCGTCTTTGCCATTATTGGAACTATGCAACAACACAATTCTCTCTCTCTCTTTCACAGGAGACTCAAAGATATATATATATATATTTGTGTGTATATGTGGTAGTAGTACCGTAGGAGGTAGGAACATAGTTGTGTCTAAATACGACATGGTCGTTGAAATTTTTGTCAACAATATTAGAGAAAACTTGAGAGAGAAAGGAATAAATTCTTGGATAGGGTGAGACGGTTACGCTAATTTGTCCAATCTCAAATATGAAATATTAAATTCGATTTGGTATATATGAATTTGTCAACCCTGTTCTCGAAGGTTGATTTTTCCAAAAGTTTCCAATTTTTTTTTTTTTTACTATGTGACATCAGTTTTCAATTTTCTCTCTTAGTTAACCTAAAAAACAATATCGGTTTTGTTCTATTAATCTATCATTATGTGCTATGTATTTTACAAATTTAGCTCATAGAGTTGATTTTATCAAGTCTAGAGTTAACCCTAGGAAACTTTGTAATATCGGTTACTGTGGTGCATTTTCTTCTTACAATAATTTGTTGTTCACCTCATGACATTAATATTGTGTGTTGAGTTGTGCCAACTTCTGTCTACTAGTTCTCAACTCATTAATTGTTTTTTTTTTTTTTTTTTCTCTTGAGAACTCAGCCAGAACTATTCTTTTCAAAACCTATAAGAAAGGTATCGATTAGCCTATTAATCACTAAACCATCCCTAAATCAACAACTTAAGTCTTGACCAATAAACCGGAATGATTTGGCGTTTGTAAAAATTGACTAGCCCGTTTGTATTCTTTATTCACCATACAAAATTCTCAAAACGTAAATGTTTTCGTGTATGTAGAAGATGGATTTTTGTAAGATATATATAGTAAAGAGAGCAAGGCTTATACATTTTGAGCATTTAGATAACCAACAGAGGACTATACTATATATCATTTATTCGTATCTAATTATCTTTTTTTTGGGTGTGGATAAAAGGCAGAATTGATTAATAATAGCCTTCTCCTTACGCATGTTAACCATATTTATACTTTAGCAGTACCTAACATGAACATTGGGTCAATTTCGTCGTCCATATGAACATTTTACATCTTTTGTTAGGTTGGTCCGCATTTACCTTTTTCTCACACGCTTCAAAAAGTTTCCTTCATTAATTTGCATCTTTGGTTAAATCAGATACATTAACCAGTTTGAAAAGTTATAACAGCCAAGGAAAACACTGATTAAACAATTGTCTACCGACTAAAAACTCTTACAAGTCCTATACAATATATACAAACCTACTAAAAAGCTTAAAAAGTGATTATGATCAAATGTGAAATACGACCGAATAAATTGAACAACCCACTACGACTATTATTATACGTTAATTTGGAGCCAACTATAAAGCTTCTGAACTCTGAATATCAAAGCGGGCCATGTAGGAGCAGATTGAATCATGGTCCACAAACTTTTAGTTCTAATATCGAAACTTGTAAATTAAGAATACTTGAATATAACATATTAGATACTGTATATTATTATTGACCTCTTCAAAAAAAAAAATAGTAAAAAAAAAAATTCTTTAAATTTTGGTGTTTTTTTGTTTATTATAAAAAATTGATATGCATGTAGAATAAAATGAATTAAACAATTCTTAATTTTAACGTAAGAAGTTAGTACATAGAAATTGATGGGTTAAATTCAGATTAGAAAAGCATGTTAAAGATATAATTGGCGGGTAAAATTAAAGTATCCCCAAGCAAAGAAAAGATGCAAATTAATGGCAACTTGGATCTCCTTCTCGACATTTTTTTCTCTTAATTGCATTCCCCATTTCTCACTTACTTTATGAAAATTTAGTTTATTCAACGGCATGGACTTTTTTTCATTAATGAACCCGTTGGACTTTTGAAATAGTCTACTTCTTATCATATACAGTAGTAGTATATTTTGATAATGATGCATACATTCTAGAAGCTAAAGAGAGTTCTACTTGGCTTTTTAGACATTTTAAGACAATTAATCAGTAAACTCCAAACTTTAAATTTATGATGTTTTGTAAATTCTAATGTGATATATATATATATATATATATATATGTTAAAAAAAAATGTATCATTTATCTCAATCAACAATTCATGATGAAATTACGTATTGGACTATAAAGCATTCATCAAACACGTTGTTAGATAGGACCAACAAAGATAAGAGAGCAAATATTTCCCATCCATGAAGATAATGGAACAAACAAACTGTCTAATTTATTACAGGATAAAGTTTCTATATTATATATTTTATAAGGGTTTGACTCTAAATAAACACTTGCAAATTTTGTTAAGAAAAAATCGTGACCACTTCCACTTGGTTTATTGGATATTGATAGTTGCTTCCATGTGGAGTTGCACATAGTGATTCCTCTCGTTCGGCCGCCAAGTCTTAAATATACATATTAAATAGTGTAATGCGTTCTCAATGCATAGATGAATGAATTTAAAAAAAAAACAATGCAAAATGAAAGCACACATTTATGGTGTTAGGTGTTGAGATATTCCATGTAAACTTTAATCTAAAATCTTAGGGTTATATTCACACACTATTTATATATATCACTATCGAACGCAGATAAGATTTTGTTTTTCCCTTTTTTGACTAAAGGATACAAAATTTTAACTTTAGTTTATAAATACACGAACTGGACCATTTGTTGACAAAAAAAAAAAAAAAAATGGACCATTTCTGTATTACCCACTTCCAAATTTTTGTCTCTCATCTGAAAAGTCTTTGTTGACCTAGGAAACAACTTACATCATCATGACATGATCATCCCGATTAGAGCTATTTGAACATGTGTGTTTCAAATTCAAGCAAAGGTATTGTCTCAAACTTTTAATTAATAATAAAAGAAAACAAAATCTATTAGTATTATGACTAGTTCTTTGGATAATTGGTTTCTTCTGAAACAAAAGGATCTCGTAAATCTTATTGCCGCAGTGACAAGGAAGTAGGTACACTAATTTAAATGACAAAATAACAAGGAATCGAAATTTCAAGCACACGACATTAATTTCCAAGAATACCCTCCAAAAAGGAAACCAATTATTGGCCTTTATGTTCTCCAAATTATTGGTAAGATATTTCAACCACATGCTCTCTTGTTCTTGTTAATGCTATTCCATTTCTACTTAAATGGTTTCAAACTATGGTTTGCTCTATACTGCAAAAAAATGAGTTAAGATATTACTTTTCTTTGAATTTAGTAATTAAGACAAAACAGTTAGCGTGTTATGTTCAAAAAACAATCTTTACTTCTCAAAGAACTGATCCAAGAACACCAAAATAAACTTTGTTTGAATACTATAAGTCTAAAGTTTATCCATCAAGTGCTCCAAGAGCTTTCATGTCCTCTAAGAAAGCTGTGTACGAATCATCAATGCTCTGCGGCTTTGAAGCTGCAGATGTCTTGGCTGACTCTACCTTCACCGGTGCAGCAGAAGCCATAGCCCTTGGTGTAAAACTCAAGCTTGTGGCTATCGAAGTCTTTGGCTTTGGTTTGGTCACAGTTGCTGATTCTCTTTTGACTCGAACCGACGCAGGGACCTGCAGATCAACAACAACAACATGATATAAAGCAGTTGATTCAATGTTTGGGACTCACATGAATTTATCAAAAAGGTGTAGTGAATTCATGTAATTTACCATGGATGTAAGCTCAGGTGTGTGTTGAGCGAGTGGTCTCCTGACAACAGTAGGAGCAGCGGATTTTACAAAAGATGGTTTATTTGGTACATATGGTCTGATCATTGCTTGACCGTCTTGAAAACTAGACGGTGGTGGTCCTGGTGGAAGTGGCGGTCTCATCATAGGAGGCGGTCCAGGCGGTGGGCCATACGGTGGTCTCGGGATCAGATGACCACCGAACATTCCTGGATGAGGAGGATGCATATCGAGTGGAGGCGGTGGAGGTGGAAAACGCAACATTCCTAGAGGCGGATGAACATCAGGTTGAAAATTAGACAGTGGAGCAGCAGCTCCTGCAAATGTTGATTGATGCTGCTGATGTAAAGGTGGTGGTGGTGGTGGTTGCACCATCTTAGAGAGGTTAGCGTTTTGAAAACTACTCCCGTTAGATTCTACTGGACCACTCTCAGATTCGTTGCTTGGAGGCCTTGAGGGAAGGCCGGGTGGTGGGAGAGGAGGGACGGAAGTTATATTAGCGTTCTGCACAATAGATATGGAAATGTAATCAAGTTTCAATATTTCTTCATTTGATACACGTAAATTGCCACCATTTTAAGACGGCTATCAGTAACAGAATGAGGTTTTACCTTGCGATTGTCAAAGGTGAAATCTGATGATTCCGGGAATCTGCCATCGCCTTCACTTCCACTTAGACCAGGAGGAGGTGGTTGGGAAGATTGAGGAAGTGGAGGAGGTGGAGGAAGAGGAGGACGAACCAAATCCTGCTCTTTTGGTGGTGGCCCCGGAGGTGGTGGTGGAAATGGTGAATGTGGCAAAGTAAGGCCTGTAGTTGGTGGCAAAGGAGGTGGAGGTGGAAGTGGCAAAGAACCAGATAAAGTATTATTCCCATCCGGTAGAGGAGGAAGTGGAGGAGGAGTAACTAAGGCGGAATCTTCTGACTCGGTAATAGAAGACAATGCAGCACCACTAGATGAAGCACCATCTGAGGAGATACTTAGTCCTGGAAAGCGTTAGAAAAAAGTCCTTTTTAGTTTTTACAATCAAATAAAAGGAAATAGGAAAAAGGACTGTTTTGATTTGTAAGAAGCAGCATTAACAAAAGATATACCTATCGATGAATTATACATTGGTGGCTTTCCCGGGGGTGGGGCACCAGTTGGGTTCAAAGTAGGGTGATAATACACAGAGTCCTGTCATAATATGCAGAAAAGTGAGGGAGGTCCTAGAAATCAAGCAGGGGGAATAGAAAGGAAAAAAAAACTAAGTACCTCTGGTTTTAAGTCCTCTTCGCCAGTTAATCTTCGTTGAGGCGGTAGATGACTGCATAGAAGACAAGAACAGGTTATACTTATATCTGACAGAAAGCGAATGACATCTTAGTAATCAATATTTATAGCAAATGAAAAGTAACGCGATAGATCGATTAATCACCTGAACATAACAGAGGTTGTGGCCTCTCCTTGCTCCTTCTTTTTCTCATCATATTCCTGTGAAAACAAAAGAGACAAGAGAATAAGAAGACAAGAGATGCCAAATCATAGGCTGGGAGTCCTGTGAGACAAAGGAATAAAACCTAACTCAACCAGAGTAATACCTTTCTCTTCTTCACCACCATTTTTAGAGTATCTTCAAGCTGTCTCTTTTTATGTTTTCTTGCTTTGTCCAAAGCACCTTCCGCCTCTACACCAATCAAAATATCAACTCTGTATTAGTTTGCATAGAGATTGAGCAGATCTGTATATCTGTTGGGGTTTAGAGATACGCTTGAAACTTGTAAGCAAAAAAATAACTAGGAAAAGAAGAAGACATATTCGATTGGACGGTATAAGTTGTTACTAGAAGTAGAGCAAAACTTACTTGACATATCAAGTTTCCTGATCTGTTCCTTGATTTGTTCAGGATCCTTCTTCAAAATTCCAACCTCTCTAACCTTTTGCCTCTCTTTCTTGTTCTGTTTAAGAACCAAAGTTAAAGTAAATGGTAAGAAACATAGCCCAAAAATCGACACACACCAACAATATTTGCTCGCAGATAATGAGACAACAATTGAACAAGATGGTAAAAAAAATATCATCTTCACTATCTTAGCTACTACAAAGCTATTGAGCATTGACCTAAAACGAGTCTGAGCTAGCAAATCAAAATTCCAAATCAATTTCTGTAATGCCTAAACAACCAAAATAGGTCTTACTAAGGATAAAGATTAGCCTTTATATGAAGATATGTCCACTTGAACCAGTGTTAAAATCACCATAACATGCTATAAACCCCCAACAAAGAGTAATCTATGAATCAAACCTAAATCAAAAACAGAGCAATTTTAACCTGAATCTAAACTAACACAGCTACAGCAACAACAACAATTAATCCCAATTCGATTTCATCAATAAGCCAGCGAAAAAAAGAAAGGGCGAATTGAGAATAGAGAAAACAAAAGCCCTTACACGCTTAATTTCTCTCTTGCGAATCTGCTTGCGATAAGCATCAGTAGGGTTCATCACTTTGCCTCCCTTCGTCGTCTTCATGTTTCCGATTTACCGTTCTTCAATCTCCCTCCCACCGATTTAGGATTTGTTCACAGTGATGAGACAAGAAAAAAACCAAAGATCTTATCTTGTGGAGTCTCTCGCACAAAATAATTTGAATTTTGTTTCCACAATACACGATTGGATTTTTCTCTCCTCCTCGACTCTCTCTCGATCTAATCTACGAGGCTCGAAATCTACGAACCAAATTTATTAACGATTTAATATTTTGGTCCTTCATTGTCAATTGAATCTTGGGCCACTGGTGGATTTTTTAATTTATTCTGAAAAAGCCCATAAGTAATTTTACTCATATTAATTTCGTAATCAATGAGAAAAATGTTATAAACAAATCAATACTATATATTTATTGCATGGGTGAAAAGTGCATTTTCACGTTCAAAATTATACACCGAGTAATAAAAATACATCGGATAAAAATAGTAGGAGTATATTTTTAACATGACAACAAATTGGAATTTAAAGAAAAAACTTTTTTTTTTTTTTTTTAAGAAAAAACTTTTTTGATAATTAATACATGCCTAAAACTGTATAACAAGTAGCAACAAAATAGTAACTAGAGGCTTGAGCAATTCACACAAATAGGCTATGTGACCTAGGATGTGTTTCGTTACTGGTCATCCCCTCGACGTGACAACCGAGCAGAACCAGCTTTCGCCATACCCGAATAGTAATCTCCGACGTTTGCAACAAAAAGAGGATCTCTCTCTTCGATCTTTCGAGGGTCATAACGTTTCGAACCATGATCATTCCCTTCATCAGATTGCTCCAAGTCTTCTGTTAAATCTTCCATTGTTTTCTTGAGATTAGCCTTACTCATTTGTGCAGCTTCTCCTGTTGAAATCCCTACCATTGTTATCTTTGGTAAGAAAGGACTTCGCAGCATTTCTCTCTCTCTAGATTCCATATCCCTGAAACCAAAAATTTGTGTTTTCAAGATTTTTACCCTCTTTAACAACATTTTGTTCTCAAATGTTTTGCAAACAATTACTACCTTCCATCTGATGGACCCTTATGATGAGTGTGTTCTTTTTTCGATTCAGAGTGATTAATCCAATCTCCAAAAGGAAACCAGAGATTTTGCTGTCTCTTTTCGTCTTCGCTTGGACTATTATCTTCTACTCTAAGCAGTGATGCGGAAGTATCTGCTTCTACTGAATCACCAAGACATCTACTTGCTGACCCTGACGCTCTTTGGATAGAAAAAGCACTCCTAAGAGCAAAGAGAGAGGAAATGTTAGCTACTTATGAGGCATTTAATAAGTGCTTTAGTGTTGGTCCTGTATACATCACATCAATACGATTTTGCTTGCTCGGATTTATAGCAAAATTCGTAAATCTAAATCCTTCTATAACTCAAACTAGAAAATATTGAAACCGTATTTAGTTTTGAGTATATATATACACAGAACTGAAAATCAATGTCAAATGTCCAAACTTCAAATTCTGCGTCAGCAAACTTCACAGTTTTTAGTGTCAATGTGACATAATAATGCTTTCACTATGTAAATAAAACGGTGTTGGAGACCAAATTACTAGTACGTTCATTAAACAAGTTTAAAAATTAGAAACCCTAGCTTTGAAGAAACAAAAAGAAAGATGAAAGAGCAAACCTTCTTTCAAAAGAATCAACCAAATAAGGTAACTTTGGCTGAATACCCGTGGCTTTTCGAAACCATCTACTGCCTAAAAGTACTCTGTCAACGGCATATAGGAGCTGAATCTCTGCAGCCTTTGCCACAACACTCAAAGGAATTCCGGAACTGCCAATCTCCTCCATGGCTTCTTGAACCTGCAGTTTGATTAATACAAGAATAAAAACCGTAAGTTTTGAGAAACTCCATAACCAACCCAAAAAGAGTCATTATCAATCTATTTGTCTGTTAAAAACGATAAGCTACCCTGGTTAAAATTCATTATCTTTACATGGGAAATTCCTATCCACAGGAATCCAGCAAGATGATAGGAATGGCAAATAACAAACTCTAATCTCGTAGCTCTTGTAGCTGATTATGATAATTACATGCTCATCTTTATTTTTAACATAATAATAACTATGTGTACCTCTGGCGGCTCTAGCATGCTATCTCCCATCTCTTCCATAACCTCTGAAGCTAAACTATCGTCAACAACATCCCGTCGTCGTTGCACATGCCGGGTTTGGATTAAAGTATGGAAATGTTGATCTACGGACTCTTCAAGAATGTTATCTAGTACAGCTTTATCAAAGAAATATGGGGTATACCTGGTAAAGGTAAATAAAATTAGATATAAAAAAGTAAAAACAATCCCAGGATTTTTCATACAAATGGTAATTGCTCAAAAAAATGTTTTGCACAACTAACAAATTCAACTACAGCCAAGTCAGTAAGAAAATTGAAAAGCCATGGGTTCTGATAGTAAAACTTGGAGGGAGTTGATCACACGGAGAGGTTAGAAGCTATAATAATTTCATGTCCTAACAAATTCACATTGTTCTGCATCAGTAAAACTCACCACTTAATTCCATCTGCAGTTGCAACAGCGATGTCCAAGTTTTGAGCACCGAAAACAGGGACTCCCTCTACCTTTTGTTTTCTACCATTTTGTGGCATTGACTTGAGAAGTTTGTTGGCAGCCTTCACCTGCGAATCAGAAATCATTTCAGTTAGAAGTAAGTTAATAAAGGGAGCAAAGAAATGCAAGTCACACTGACATGATTTTACCTGTCTCTCATTTGGAACAAACTGAAATAAGTGAGGCTTCTCCTGAGGAAAATGAAACAAATTAAATTTTCAGTCTCTCGTACAAATCAAATGTAGTATATAACGACATACTAGTTCTAATTGAGGCATACCTTGAAATGCTCATATGCCAAATCAAGTCGACAAGCCCCAACCACTCCGCTTGGAATATTGAGTTTTTTAACATATGAAACTGAGAAAACAAACACCACGTCAGGAAAATATCCAAACCCAAAATTATGCAAAAAAGTAGACAACATGGTTTGGAGTTGTAAGCCTAGAGGTTCAGAATCTCCATTGCCATTCATTTTAGAATACTTCAGCCTTATCCAAAACCAGAAGGCTCTTAAAGAACATACAAGCAAGTAGTAGCTAGACTATGTTACTGGAAAATGCTAAAAAAAGCTTACAAAGAGAAGTGTCAATGCACCTGCATCACCAAGATCCATGAAAAAACGGAACACAGGGCCATTCCTCTCGCTCTTAGTGATAGTCGAAAACATTTTCTTTAGCCACTCAGGTGTCCTGTATATAAACATCAATACAAACATGAGGATGAAACTGAAGAAAACATAGAAAATCATATGATGCAAACCAGCTAAGCTCATCTCATGGAAACTGAATCGAACTTGAAATTCGAGAGTGAGAAATAAAGGAAGAAGAGTAATGATAAACCTCTTGGAGATGAAAGGAATATCGAAGTGAGTAGAAACAGCCATTAGACCAGTCCCAGTAAGGTCACACATACTAAAGACCTGACCGACGAAGGCAGGTCCACCGCGTTTCCCATCGGAGCTGAGAGATGAAATCCTAACCGTTGAATTAAGGCCGGAGGAGGACGTGGATGATGAGCTCTTCACCGTCGATTCGAAAGGGGACGACACATCGTCTGATACCGAGAATCTAAGTGGGAGGCATACACGAGACGGCGCCGTTTTGGGAGGGAAGAGAGGAATGATTGAGGTTACGGCGCTGTGTAGAAATTCGGCGGCCACGTGGCGGCGATGTTGCTTATCCGGCGAACCCATTAACCTGACTGTTCGGTTCGGCAGCTCTCTCTGCCTTGTGCGTAGAATCCAGAAGGTGACTTTGTTAATTAAAACACAACAAAAAATGAAAACATTATTCGATAAGAAACAAAAAAATCAAAGTTAAATCCGTTTTTTTTTTTTGGTTAATCCGATAGAAATCCAAGTTTAATCTTCTGTATATATTAAACAATTGATGTTGATTACGTTAGATTCAACTATATATTATCGCTTTATATGTAGATTTGTTTGTGGAAACAATAAATTTGCTTTGATTATTTTGTTCCATCTGGAACTTCTTTGTTGAATACACTGATACTCTTACAGCTTTGAAGAAAAAAAAGACAAGTTAATGGCATTCAAGTTTCCAAGTGCATTATGCTTTCACTCTTATCCATAAGCTTGAAATAAAAATTCAAGTTGGTGTCAATCTTACTAAACCAGTGTTCCGGTATTCCTCTAATCCAAACCTTTTCTCATATCATTCTTTTGGAGGTCATAATAAAGAATGTAATATTGGGATATCAACGGTTCGGGTGCCAAGATAACCTCGCCGTTTTGAGTTGTACCTTCCACCGTCAATGGAATTTTGTTATCTACTAAGTGCATCTGACAAGGCTGCAAAACGAGAGATTTCCTCGACCATTTTCCAGCATCTTCCAAGACCCATAAGTCCACCAAACCTGTTTGTACCAAAATGGTATGATCAACAACAGCTGGTTTTCCACCATACTCTATAAATCCCACATATTCACTATACGCTGACACCACAGGAGGTCCTTGGATCATACTGAAGACTTCAGATCGAACATCAAAACTGACAACAATATCGCCACGCTTACGCGTGGAAGCCAAATAATATATAACTCCCTTGATGCACAATCCTAGTCTCGTGGGGAGATGAGGCTGATCGAACTCAATTCTTTTCCACTGAACCTCCGGCTTCTAGTACGAAGACCCAATGCTCTGAGGTTATCCTCTTAACTTTTGTTGAGGATACTGCAACAGTGCAAACTACTTTGTATTGATCAAGAACAGGATGTGTCCGAAAAAGTAGAGGACACTCTTATGATAGTCTTCTTGAGCAAAAATGTTGGATTTGACGGCGGGTAAGGTTACGCATTGTCTGGTGGTGGGATTACAGATACACGCCTTTCTGCAAACATTGTATAGAATCAAGCCACGAAGAACCACCATGTTGCGTGATCCCATCCCTGCAATTGTCAAATCTTGTTCGAAAGACTCAGCACTGCTACTAGAAGATGACAGCAGTACAGACTCACGGGGGTTGTGGCAAACCTCCATTGAATTACACACGAGGTGGTCCACCAAACTCATGTATAGACGAGGTGGTCGCAGTGGGGATGCGACCGTAAGATAAAGGTTGCTAAAATATCGAGAACGGATAAGAGAAGACAATAGCTTTGAGATGCACTTGAACCTCATCAGTGATTTAGCAGGCAATCTAGTCAGAATCTCGATCAGTAGATCCAAAGGAATCTCCTGCGCGACTAAATAGTTTTCTCTTCTTCTTCTTTTTCTTCCTTTTCTCATCTTCTTACATTGAAAAGATGAAAACAGAGCTGCAGACATATGCATAGCTCCTACTTATGTCTTAATTCGACCAAAATTTTTTTCTTTCTAAAAGAGATCTGAGTAAGAGAGACAGAGGAATACGATCAGGGTGCGCTCACGATTATAGGGTTTGAAAATTTCTTCTTTTACTTATTGACTAGAGAAACGGCGCCGTTTGTCTTTGGTCTAATCTAAGAGAAATTAGCCCATGGGCTGATTACTACTACTATACTAAATAATTGGGCTGCAAATAATTGGGCCTCCATTGGGTCATGGACGGTTTTCTGTTTCCAATAAGTTTTTGTTGATGTCGCATATTTTGTAATTGTTACGTTCTTTCCAAAGCATAATGTCGTCTAGATACTCTAGACAGTTAAAAACCTATAGATATATAAAGGGTTTTTGATCATACTATAAGATATAATACAAGTACTCAACTCACCATCTATTTACTCATCCCTAAAAGCAAGAGGACACAGTTTTTCCTATAAAAGATTGAACACTAAAGCTATATATTGATGTAATGTTTGATTATAAGAAAAAAGCACAATGATAAACGATAAAAGCTAAAAGAAAAATATTCGTTGGCCTTGCCGAGGAAAAAGCCAAAAGAAAAATAAAAAGGAGACTTCACTTTGATATATATATGGATCATCTCCTAGTCAAATTTCCATTATCCAAAGAAGAAGTTCAAAAAGACTGAATCAAACTAATAATACACAAAGTTGAAAAGGAAAAAAGTTTATAAAGTCGAAAGAAGAAAAACGAGAGAAGAAAAAAACTCAAGTAGTGGGAAACACACTCGTTCTACGGACGGGTACGGTACGGAACATGGTACCTTTATTTTAAAAATGAAAAAAAAAACTTTGTAGAAAAAAAAAGAAAAGAAATTACTAATAAGAACAAAAGGTCTGCGTCACGTGGGTTGTGTTTTGGCGTGTGTTGTAAAATGTGAACTGTTTCTGTGGTTTTCATGGACACGTGTCAAGTTTCCAAGGGAGCATCATCTCTTGTAGCATATGGCCACCATTTTGTGATGCACATGGCTGTTTCTTTCTTTCTTCTGTTCTGTGTCTGTGACCTACTCGCTTTTATTTCCATGTAATGAATTTAATTCTATCAATCCCAACGGTCATCCCACGCCTACAAGGCTACTACAACTACAAGTGCAACCTTTGCTTATAGGTTTACTCTCGAATTGACGACCCATCTTCCATTCTTCCTAACTTGATAAATTCTTATGATGATAAATTTTCATGTGTGTTCGTTAGGAAAATATCATTAAGGTTTAACCATTTCAAATTGAATATAGTAAAAAATTTGATTGACTCACATTTACAACGTTTTTTAAATAATTAACAGCTATTTTGCAGAACATTTATAGGTGTAGTTTAGTTGTAAAATCTGACTGTAATCACATATTTTTCAAATTAATCAAAACTAAAAATGGTAAAAACCTTAGTTGCATACTTGCATGTTAGAAATATAACATGTCATCACATTTACAACGTTTTATGACTAACAACCACAAACATAACATTTACATAGATGTAAAATCTAGCCATAGTCACATTTTTTTTTCTCAAATTAATATAGTTAATGTGTTTTAAACTAAAAATGGTAATACCTTAGTTAAATGTATTAGAAATTATGTCATCATATTTACAACGTTTTTTTATGATTAACAGATATATACAGAATCTTTACGGAGATAATTTAGCGGTAAAATAAAAATCCGATTGTATCACATCTTCTTAAATTAATTCATTACTTTATCTTTAAACTAAAATTGGTAAAATCTTAATGTGTACTAATCAAATAATTAATTCCCTATTGTAGTTAATAATTATATTTTATGAGGTGGCTTGACGCATGAAGAAAAAAGGTTGAAAAAGGCAGTAAGAAAAAGATACCTAAACAAGACTGAGAATTTAATTAATTAAATAAAAGGAAAACAAAAAAATAAAGGAAGGATATAATTGTGGGTCGGAGTGTATTAGCTTCCCATACTGCCACTAACCTTTAGCGGTTTTCTCATCTTCTCTACTCATCTTTCTCTCCTCTGAAACCCAAAAGACATAAACGAAGAAGAAGATAAAGAAATCAACTTGTGAAACAGGTTTCTACATCTCTGTTTTTCAAATTGTTCTCTGTTTTTCTTATAAAAGTTGTGAGTGGTGTTTTAGTGGCGAATTTCTGATAATTTGTCTGTTTGTTTTTATACTAGGAGGTAGCAGGAGATATGGGGGACAAGGAAGAAGTCCTTGAGGCGGTTTTGAAAGAAACTGTGGATCTGGTAACAGATCTAAACTAAAGTTTTGATTTTTTTTGTTTCTCTGATGTTGGAGAGAAAGAGTCTGAAGAAATTTGTCTTCTTGTTTTTTTTTCAGGAGAATGTGCCTATTGAAGAAGTTTTTGAGAGTCTGAGATGTAGCAGAGAAGGTCTCTCTACAGAAGCTGCTGATGAAAGGCTTGCTCTTTTTGGGCATAACAAGCTCGAAGAGAAGAAGGTTCCGTTTCCGTTCTCTATGTTGTACTCGTGTCTTTTCTGTAATTTTGGATTCTGGGGTTTTAGTCTATAGCTCCAATAGATGATAATTTCTATGTTCTGAAGCAAAGTTCCAATTTTTATGTTTTTTTGCAGGAAAGCAAATTCCTGAAATTTCTTGGTTTCATGTGGAATCCTCTTTCTTGGGTTATGGAAGCTGCTGCTATCATGGCTATTGTTCTTGCTAACGGAGGAGTGAGCATATTCTACACTCTCTTACATATTTTCATATGTTTTTTTAAAGTTGAACTCTTTTATTAATATCTTCGTTTGGTCTGTGTTCTTGATAATGCTTTGCTTACCAGGGGAAGCCTCCTGATTGGCAAGACTTTGTTGGTATTATTACTCTGCTTGTGATAAATTCCACCATCAGTTTCATAGAGGAGAACAACGCCGGGAACGCCGCTGCTGCTCTTATGGCACGTCTTGCCCCCAAAGCAAAGGTTTGATATTCTTGCTCATTGTTACTTGTTTTCAACAATGTCATAGATTGTTTCAGGTTTTTGATTGCTGGATACTCTTATTTCTTCTTAAGATATTGGTTCTTATCAACTCATATATGGGCATGGTTTCCATTTGCTTAATGTATATTTGCATCTCCCTTGTCAAAACGTTTGTAAAGGTTCTTCGAGATGGAAGGTGGGGTGAGCAGGATGCTGCAATTCTTGTTCCTGGTGACATAGTCAGCATCAAGCTTGGGGATATTGTTCCAGCTGATGCTCGCCTTCTCGAGGGTGATCCCCTTAAGATCGATCAGGTTTGACCCTGATGACCGATATTGCATACGCTTCATCTTGTGGTGCACGTAGCTTCAATCATTAGCCACTTTTGGATGTTTGGATATCATACTGCTAAGTTTTCTTTACTTTCCAGATTAAGAATTTGTACTGAAGCTGTTATGACCCTTTGTTCTGTAGTCTTCTCTTACTGGTGAATCTCTCCCAGTAACCAAAGGTCCAGGGGATGGTGTGTATTCCGGCTCCACTTGCAAACAGGGCGAGCTTGAAGCGGTTGTAATTGCAACAGGAGTCCATACCTTCTTTGGAAAGGCCGCACATCTTGTTGATACTACCAACCAAGTTGGCCATTTTCAACAGGCATGATTTCTTCCACGTTGTGAAAATTCTCATTGTCGAGATCTTCTATGTTGTTTCCTTTTCAAGTTGGTTCAAACTATATTAATATTTATATTTGTTTTGTTTTATGTTCAGGTGTTAACTGCCATTGGGAATTTCTGCATCTGCTCTATTGCAGTGGGGATGATAATTGAGATTGTCGTTATGTATCCCATTCAACACCGAGCATATCGTCCTGGAATTGATAACCTTCTTGTGCTTCTCATTGGTGGTATCCCAATTGCCATGCCTACAGTTCTCTCTGTGACCATGGCCATTGGCTCGCATAGGTTATCTCAGCAGGTTAGCCAGATCCACATAAGATGTATTATTATAGAGTTTCTGTTTTATATAATATGTTTGTCTTTTACTTTCTGAAGGAATTTTTGTTTGATTCATTGGGGTTTGAAGTTAAACTTGCTTGATGTTGAATGATTAGCTGGGACTTGATAACTTTTTCTTAAAATATCTCTGTGCTTTAGTGGCTACATGATTATATTCTGATGTATATCGCAGGGAGCAATAACCAAGAGGATGACAGCGATTGAGGAAATGGCTGGCATGGATGTGCTTTGCAGCGACAAAACCGGAACTTTAACATTGAATAAACTTACTGTTGACAAAAATCTTATCGAGGTAATGTGGGCTTGTTCAAATAAATGCATCTTCCCAGGATCCTGGTAGTGTTTTCTGAATGAGCATTGAGCGCAAGTTTTTTGTATATAGGTTTTCACGAAAGGAGTGGATGCGGATACAGTAGTTCTAATGGCAGCTCAAGCCTCTAGACTGGAAAATCAAGATGCCATTGATGCTGCTATAGTTGGGATGCTTGCTGACCCTAAAGAGGTATTTTTGTGAATACTGGTTTTCCCACAGAGACGTTAATTAATTTACTACAGAACTACACTGTTAGGCTAAAGCTTCCTCAATATTACTTACTGTAGGCACGAGCTGGTGTTCGAGAAGTTCACTTTCTTCCATTCAATCCCACTGATAAGAGGACGGCTCTTACATATATTGACAGTGATGGTAAAATGCATAGGGTCAGCAAAGGTGCACCTGAGCAAGTAAGCTGTCTGTTGCCATTTATGTTCTATTCAAAAAATTTTGGTGTAGAGCATAGTCTTATTAGCTCCTATTGCCGATTTCTCAGATCCTAAATCTTGCGCACAATAAAGCAGAGATTGAGCGGAGAGTTCATGCTGTAATAGACAAGTTCGCTGAACGGGGTTTGCGATCTCTTGCCGTGGCATACCAGGTAATTGGAGACCAGCTCCTCAAGTTTCTCGTGATATATTAGTATAAGTTGGTACAAGATTCAAGGTTGGAAGTGTTTGGTCTTCTACAGGAAGTTCCGGAAGGGACAAAGGAAAGTGCTGGAGGCCCTTGGCAATTTATGGGTCTGATGCCTCTTTTTGACCCACCTAGGCATGACAGTGCCGAGACAATTAGAAGGGCTTTAAATCTTGGGGTGAATGTCAAAATGATCACAGGTGAATTTTTTGTTCTACTCAGGACAGTCTTTTGATTCTTCATCAATGATGTTGTTTTGCCTCTCTTCTTCTCCGAATCCATATGTCTTTGCTAAAGGTTTGTGGCATTCTATAGGGGATCAGTTGGCTATAGGAAAAGAGACTGGACGCCGTTTAGGGATGGGAACCAACATGTACCCTTCATCTGCTTTGCTCGGACAGCACAAGGATGAGTCTATAGGTGCCTTACCCATCGATGATCTCATAGAAAAGGCCGATGGCTTTGCTGGCGTTTTTCCTGGTAAAACTTGTTTATTTCTGTTTCTCCAAAACTTTATCAGCCTAGTTCAACTCAGAATTTTAACCAAATTAGCCATGAAAACGGTTTGCAGAGCATAAATATGAGATAGTTAAGCGACTACAAGCGAGGAAGCATATCTGTGGAATGACAGGTGATGGAGTAAACGATGCACCTGCTCTTAAAAAGGCTGATATTGGCATTGCAGTTGCTGATGCAACTGATGCAGCACGTAGTGCTTCAGATATCGTTCTTACTGAACCTGGTCTTAGTGTTATCATCAGCGCTGTCTTGACCAGTCGTGCTATCTTCCAGAGAATGAAAAATTATACAGTGAGTGTTGCATTTATTCTCAGTCTCCATCATACCTTTTAACTTTCCCTGCATTCTCATGGAGGAATCATGCAATGTATCATACAGACAATATCTTATTTATGCAGCTCCTTTAGTTGTATACAATTTGCAAGTCAAAATATTTGTTCTTTTTTTTTGTAAACAAATAACTTGAGCTGGCTTTTTGTTTTTCTGGACAGATCTATGCGGTTTCCATCACTATCCGTATTGTCGTAAGTTGTCATTTTATTTTCTGAATTTTTTCCTACTCGTTTCTTTACACAAGCTCTCAATACAACTTGATTATCATGTGTAATACTCCTTATGATTTGATTTGGTTAATTCAGCTTGGCTTCATGCTGCTGGCTCTTATATGGAAGTTTGACTTTCCACCCTTCATGGTTCTTATCATCGCCATCCTGAATGATGGTTAGTTCACTATTTTTACATTTATCACTCTATAGTTCAGTTTCTACTACTGTCAAAACTGTACCAACATTAATTAGAAAATTATGTGGTTCTAGGATTTCAGCTAATTATCTATACTTTTTGCTGGTTCACATCGTTTCTCTCGAGTTTTGCTGTATTGATTAACTCTTGTGGCACTGACTTTGTAGGCACAATTATGACAATATCAAAAGACAGAGTGAAACCTTCCCCTCTTCCAGATAGCTGGAAACTCTCAGAGATATTTGCAACTGGCGTTGTGTTTGGGAGCTACATGGCAATGATGACAGTTATATTTTTCTGGGCTGCATATAAAACCGACTTCTTCCCGGTATGACTTCTCTCTGCTCTTCAGTATAACAGCATTACCCTTGCTTGTTTTTGTCTCGCTGGATTGTGTGCTCCATTGACACCTCAGAAGTTGTTTTTCCACGCTACTCTACTGAAACTTCAATTTTCTCTTTTAGACAAAATCGTAAACCAGTGTCAAATTCCTGTTTTCTGTATCTTAGTGACCAGATTTATTATTTGAATTTCAGCGAACTTTTGGAGTTTCAACCCTTGAGAAAACTGCACATGATGATTTCCGGAAGCTTGCCTCAGCAATATACCTTCAAGTCAGCATCATAAGTCAGGCGCTTATCTTTGTGACCCGATCACGGAGTTGGTCTTATGTAGAACGTCCTGGGATGTGGCTTGTGATAGCCTTTATCCTCGCACAATTGGTCAGTGTGCCACTTCACTATCTGTGGTCAGCACCCGAGTCAAGAGTTATAAACGACTGTTCCATTTTTTTGATCTATTTCTTCCAATACAGGTGGCTACTCTAATTGCAGTCTATGCGAATTGGAGCTTTGCTGCAATAGAAGGGATCGGGTGGGGATGGGCCGGGGTCATCTGGCTTTACAATATCGTATTCTATATTCCTCTTGATATCATCAAGTTCTTGATTCGTTATGCCCTTAGCGGAAGAGCCTGGGATCTTGTTATCGAACAAAGGGTATGTATCAAAAAGCAACATTTTTCTTTTCATTTCTGTGTCTTTCCATTTTGCCATATATGTACTTGTTCTTGTATTGTGACACAAATGGATACCGTAAGTAAGTCTCTGTTTATAATTGATTCTGCGTATGCTCCTTAGGTTGCATTCACGAGGCAGAAGGATTTCGGGAAAGAACAAAGGGAGCTACAATGGGCGCACGCACAGAGAACTCTGCACGGCCTGCAAGCACCAGATGCTAAGATGTTCCCAGAGCGAACCCATTTCAACGAGCTTTCCCAAATGGCTGAAGAAGCTAAGAGAAGAGCCGAAATCGCCAGGTAAAATTCATCAATGCTTTTTCTTCCTGTGAAGTCAGAGAAGGAACACTTTTAGGATATTGAGAACAAAACCAGAACATTTTGTTATTGTCTCATTCTTTCTTATACTTTGATAGGTTGCGGGAGCTTCACACACTCAAGGGTCATGTTGAATCTGTTGTGAGACTAAAAGGTCTCGACATTGAAACCATTCAACAAGCTTACACCGTCTGAGAGAAGCATAGAGAGAGCCCAAGAACCGTATCAAAATCATTCAAGAAGGTCAATATCCCTGTTTGAAACTTCGATACAAATTATGCATATAAAGTATCTGTTTCTTAGTAGTCTTTTTGGTTGGTTTTTATTTCCTCTTCTGAGTTTTAAGATTTGTTCTGTTATTATGATGATGTATGACAGAAAATAGAAACAGAGTCCTCAAAATGCAAGACAAATTTTTATTTTGCAATACATCTGATGTTATAAATCTCTCTTTTGTCCACAATGATAGAAAGAAAGAGATGTGATCTTAACACAGTAACAAAAAAAAAGGAAAAAAAGAAGCCAGAACAAGTATATGATTACTTCATCTCTATATGGCTTATTCCAAGAAAATCCAAAGAAAATGAAAAAGGGGATTGAGAAGCTGACCAAAAACTAAGTCTAACAGCTTCCAGGAGATGGCAATTCCATAATTATCAGGCAACGTTCTTGTCTTGCTGTTTGATGATATGTTCATTGGTTTCATATGTTGTCACTTCATCATCACTTCCTTTGTACCTATACCATCTTGACATCACCAAGAAATAAGCAAAATTAACTGCCAAGATTCCAGCGATCATGAAATAGAAGAGATCCAATCTTCCTTTGTTCAAATCCTCAGCTAACCAGTTACCCCCGGACGAGTTCTGCGTCATTCTGTGAACTGTTGCAATCAAGAAGCTACCGAGGTAACTCGAAACTCCTCCTCCTACGTAAAAGATGGATCCCGCGAAACTCCTCATGTTTTCGGGAAACTGCTTGTAGTAAAACTCCATTTGTCCAATTGCTGCAAATGCCTCGGCTACACCCGCCAGTGAGAGCTGCGGAATCAGCCACATAGCTGACATTGAGGAGATTTCTCCCTTTCGTGGCGCCATACCGAGTGTCGGTTTTGTCAGAGCGAATGTTCTCCTCCGTTCCTCGACAAATCCCGCGACTACTAGGCTTGCGGTAGCGAAGAAAATGCCAGTTCCGATTCTCTGCAAGAGCGTTATCCCGGTGTCTAGACCAGTAATTCTTCTCATGGTTGGCACAAGTACACGGTCGTATACTACGATGAAAACTGTCATTCCCGTCATCAAGAAAACCACGTAGGTGGCTGCAGGAATCACAAATCCTCCTGAGCCTAAGCGACGGTCGCTCTGGAGGGCTTGGAAGACGGGATAAGTCATTTGTTGAGTTATGGTTAAGTAGTAAATTGATGATGCAAACCATATAGGAAGAACTCTCACGATACACTTCACTTCTTCAACTTGTTGCATTGTACAGAGCTTCCACGGATCAGCAGGCTTACCATCTGGCTGCAACTTATCTTCGGGAGTCATGATCGCGGCTTTATCGAGAAATCTGTCAAATAGGAAGCTTTGTCAGTAAACATAAAACATATAAAAATAGTGAAAAGACTAGTTTTGACTATTTGTTGTTTTTACCTGAATTGGTCGGTGTATTTGAGCTTGGAGTTTGCGTATTTTGGTGGGTAGTAATTGTAAAGGTTAAGCCAAGGCTGTTTCGCGGGCTTTAATCCGCGTTTCTTGATCGCAACCGCTATAACTTGAGCTATACCGGCCAATGGACTACCCGAGGCTTTGATCTTCACATACAACTTATCGCCCGCGAAGAAAATCAAGCAGGCCAAAAACATTAGAACGGCCGGGATGGTTAGACCGATCGTCCAACTGACATTAGACTGAACGTACACGACTAGGGTCAGCGACAAGATCTGCGCGAAAGTGAAGGTAAAGAAATACCAATTGAAGAAACTGTCAATCCCTCTTTTCCCTGATTCACTTTTGGGGTTAAACTGATCAGCCCCAAAAGCTAAATTACACGGTCTAATCCCACCCGCTCCCACTACAAGGAACCCGAGACCCATCAGTAGAAACGCTATCTGGCCTCCACTTGGCCCGTTACATATACTATCAGCCGCTGTTCCACATGCAGCTGGATGCAGTTGTGGCACTGCAGCAGTCAATAGTATCACAAACGATCCCTACAAAACCCAATTCACTGATCAGATTTTTTTTTACTTAAAACCGAATGTTTTAGAGAATGAAAAGATTAAAAAGGAAGGATCATTACAAGAAAACAGGCGATGACAGCGACACTTAGAGTCTTGTATCGACCGAAGTAAGTGTCGCAGAGAAAAGCAGCTATGAAAGTTCCGAAATTAATTGTGCCACTAAAGGCATTAATGATGGTTGCAGCTGTAATACTCTTCAGGTTGAAGACTGCAGTTAAATAAACCAGAAGGTTCGATAGTGTCCCAATGATCCCAAGCTTCTCAAATGTTTCATTTCCTGATAACAACAACAACAACAACAACAACATGTACAAGAGCATAAGTCTTTGATCCAAGATTTTAACATAGTTGATTACAAAAATCAATATGGATTATTGGACTGTGATAAAGTTTTAAACGTTGCATTTAATTGAATCACAAACCATACCAAGAATCATGAACTAGATGAAATTTTTGTGTTTCTTATTGATCGTTGACCAAATATGTTATAATATCTTAGACAAAATTCAAGATCTCACTCTTTTTTACTTAAATTACCGTTGACTAAGTCAAAGTTACAGACAACACAGAGAATCTAACAAAACTCTCCTCGCTCAGACAAACAAGTCTTCGAGCAAGACTGATGTTTTTTCTAGATTTTTTTTTTAAAAATATTTGTGGATTTTTCCCAAACTTCATAAAACCAACAGAAAAAACAGTTTCCAGGACCAAAAAAAAAGGTTATAAATTAGAGGGAAAAAAACATGGGTAGATGATCAAATTAGTGTTACCAATAATAAAGGGCATGACTTTCCAGCCTCTATAAACGACTTTCTTCTGATCCTGAACATCTTCTTCAACAGAGTCAACCGCCGTAACAGAGCCACCGTAGACGACGGAGGAAGGATTCTGGTGGTTATCCGTCGACTCAACTTCAAGAGGCTTTCTCTCCATTTTGTTTCTCTATACTTTTGGCTGTAATTTATTACTACAAAGAAAAAAAGACTTGGTCGTATATTTTGTAGTTTCTTTATTTTCTTGTTTAGTCTCAGAGGCAAATGATGACTGTTTTCTTCATCTTAGAGCTCTCTCTATTTATAGTGGTAAGAAAGGAAGAAAGAAAGAAAGAGGATGGTGGAGAGATGTCGGAATCTTGACAAAGTGGTAATTTGTGTATTTGGCCGTGAAAGAGAGCTCTGTTACTGATTAAAATATTGATTAATCTTTTTCTTTTCTTCTAAAAATTAACATTTTAGAAAACTTTTAAGAAAAATCAATAAAAATGTAGATTCCATTAATAAGTGTTGTGGCCCCATCATAACACTCTCCCTCTTAATAACGGCACGTTCTTTTAAGCTCTTCGTCCATTTTCTTATTTTTCAATCTTCTTCTCTTCTTTATTCTTTCCACTATTTTTTTATCTTCATATAATTTAATTGTTTATACTATAGGGTAACTTTAACTATTATAAGTTTTAGTGTAAAACTGACGTTGACTTAAATATTGTTATGATTTCGAGATCGATTTTTCTAAAGTTTTCCACGCATTTTAATAAAATATTCAAATATCCTTATCTATATTCTCCAACGTTACGCCATTATGAATGTACGTTTTCGAAATACTATCTATCTAGCTAGCTACTTGTGCATAGATTTATACGACATATCAATATATATATGAAGTAGAAAACAAAGTACGTTTTAGGAGTTTAGTTAACTTGATAGAGGTACAGATCCTAGACCATCATACTAGTCACTTCAAATTCTGTATTAGAAAACATTTGTACTTTTCATTTATAAAGTATTTAGTGAAAAATTACACACACACTGATGCATACCCACAAGAAAATGGGATGTAAGTTTTAATTTCGGTCAATTTATCAAATTTTCAACCACTCGATCAGTCTACCATGATTGGTTAAGTTAGTGCATGTGAGACCTTTTAGATGTTAACTAGTATTCGTGGAAATTAATTTTAGTGGATTAACGGAATAAGTTAGTTAGAAATCAGCCAAATTCTAGTGTGCTGGCAGCATTATCGTGTTAAGAAAATGTCAACCAAAGTTTTTGTGTTAGTTTCATTTGAGCCGTTTATGTTAAAAAGTCATTAGCCAATTAAGGTTGGAAATGACTTTCCCTCTTATCTACCATTTTGCCATCATATGTACTTCGATCCAGTTTTTGCGTTAAAAGCCATTTGTCGGTTTTTGTTCATTGAAAAAGGCCATATTTTGTGTTATTTAGTATTTTTTTTCTTTGTAAAATTGATTCCATTAAAATATCAAAGAACTTTTTTACTTTTCTGTTTATGTACACATGTACAAACTATAAAAACGCCACAAAATCTACAATTTTCAGCAAGTTGACGAATTTCAATTCTCTGTCAGTTGCTCTAAATATTTCGTCAACTTGCTGAAACTACTAAGTTCATTTGCATTTTGTGAACTTTATTGTTAATTAATATATAATAAAGAAAAAGCTATTTCTTGCAAATGGGAATGACAAAAAAAGAAAAAAAAAAGTCATATTGTTGGCTGAATGAAGTTTAAACGTACATATTGTTTAAGCCATTAAACATTACAAATTAATAAAAACAGAAGTTATTTGGACGAATGACTCAAGTTTTCAATATAAGATAAGTCCGATAGGCCTCCTTTAAATGAGTCCGACTGCTGGTCCTTAACTAGGTCCCAACCAAAAATAGAAAGCTTCAAGGGTCTAGTGGCGTAGTGTTAGAAGTAGTGAAAGATTTTATTTTTGTGGGATTTAATTAAGATTTATTAGACAAGGGATGAAATCCTAACAATAATATGGTTTTCCATTGCTTGTTTCCTTTTTTTTTTTTATCGTTATTAACATTTCAGTGAAAAAGTACGTATTAAGTATTCTATCTTATACATATTTCGAGAATTAGTCTTAAATATTTTCCCAAAAATAACCTATCAAGAAAAAAAAAAGAGAATGCTCATCTCAGTTGATATAAAAGCATAAAAAGTTTTAAAAATAAAAAATGTTGTAAATGTGTCCATTTATAAATCTGTTTCCTAGACAATTAGCATATATCTTATGAGATGTTAGTGAAAATAATTGGACATGACACCAATAGGGATGGGTACCTATTTTCAAACAACTTGAGCTTTCAATTCAACTTTAATCTCTTTCATTTTACCACTTAATTAGGTC